TGTCCAGCCCAGGAGCCTTGGGGCTGTAGCTTAACCCCTTAGGGGCTGGTTGCAGCCCACAGGCCACTAGTTCAACAGACTTGAGTTAAACAATAAGGTCATCTGAAGACAAGTTTGTGTCTGGACAGTAAGTTGCATAGAATTTTAGTGCAGTGCAGCACTCAGGCAGAGAGAAGCAGAGCTGGCAGTGTGGAGAGCTGCCTCCAACTGGTCAGTCCAGTGTGGTAGAAGGGGAAGGAGAGGAAAGGGGCATGGGGAGGGGGCAGGGGGCAGATCAACACCTCCCATGGTGAGGGAGGGGGGGCAGGCACTGCCTGGGTGGGCCAGGCAGCTACCACTTCTGCTAGCACCTCAGGAGGGCACTGGGGGGGAGGGGGGCAGCACGTGCCACCTGGATCACCGTGGGGCAGGGCAGGGTGGGCTGCAGTCAGGGCTATATGGGGCTCTTCTCAGCAGGGGCTGGACTTGGAGCAGGCTTCGGCGGCAATGGGAGGATGCTGCATCAACCTCAAATTTCACCAATCGCTCTGCTCCCAACAGCACCACCGCCAGCCACCCAGCGCTGCACCGGCTCTTCCACCACCTCTGACTTTCTATGACCTTGGAAAGGTCATTTAAACATCTTTGTATCTGGTTCCACTTGAATAAAAAGGGGTTGATACCTCTGGGGGAAAAAAAGCTCCGAGGTTTACAATTCTAAGCATTAAAAGCTATATTGTGAAAACAGGCCGGGCATGCCAGAAAGCTAACTTTATTTAATTAAAAATTAATAAGACAGTATTTCCTGGAAATTAATGAGCCCCACAACTCAGACAGGTAACAGCTTGACACTGACAGGCAGATAACAAGTGTTGGCTCAATTAGCATTTAAATATCTTTTTTAGAATACTGTTCTCATTATACATATTTAAAATACTTCAAATTAGTAAATTGCTCATGCTCAGCTTCATGTCTATAATGACAAAGGAAGAGCACAAAACCAGATACACAAAAACAGATCAGCGACCAATGGCAAGAGGGAGTAGTTAACAAAGAACAACAACAGGAAGGAGGTGGCGGGGAATGGGATTAATCCATAAAGAGTTTAACTCCACTCCCACCATTTTACTGGTACATCCCTTCCTCTGAAGCAGGAAGGCTATCTTTGTCCGAGAGGCATAAAGCATTTTTGGAATGCTTGAAAAACAACAACAGGGCAAGGTCAAAGATTTTTCTCTAACCAGTCAATGCTATTTGACATATTGTACAAAAGAACATGCATCTGTGCCATTTCCTAGCCAAGATGTTGCCTCTCTCCAAATCCTGAGCAATCTAGTTTTCAGCTTCTTAAGAATTCAGTCTTATCAGGAAACTGTTCCTTCCCTATTCCCAAAACACCTGTGAAATTCTAAGGTTTAAAAGGTATTACCTTATTGCTCAAAATACAAAACACTACCTGTATCTTTGCTCTTTGGCAAAAGTGATTTGATAGTGTTTAGAATGGAGTATAATGAATAGACAACCCATTCAGGAGAAGCTTTAGAGTCAAACACTTAAGCACAAATAACCACTTTGTTACCAGACCCAACTCTTAGAACTTAAAACAGACATCTAAGTTTTGAGGCTTGTGGTCTTGTAGCTTTAATATCCTTTCTGCCCCACCTTAAGTTCAGTTCAAGAACTGCAGTTACAACTTTCTTTTCATGTATCATAAAAATCACCTTGTAGGCAGCATGTTACATCTCACTTCAGTGTGATACCTAAATAAGTAATGTTTCAGAAGAAACTTTATGATGCATTCAAATATTCATAGATCTCGTAGATATTAGGGATGGAAGGGATCTCGGAAGATCTTTGAGTCCAGCCCCCTGCCCCAGGGGCAAGAAGAAAAAAAAAAAAATACACACACACACACACGTGAAAAAATATATACATGTGAAAAGGCAGAGATTTCTTAGGGTGCTATCTTTTATTGGCCCAGTTGCATAGTCGGGATAGTTAAACTTTCAAATGCAAGATATTTCTTCATCATGTCTGACTACTCATCCTAAGAAACCCTTTCTTTGCATTCTTCCTAGACTACCACACAATGTGATTCAACTACATGCCAATGAAGAATTTCCCAGTTTCTTAAATTTTTCAAGTAACTTACCATCAATGGTGGATGGTAGAAGCGTTGAAACAATTTCTCCTTGTCCTTTTTGGTTTTTGTACAGGAAACACTGGAAACAATAAAGAACAGCACAGCGCAGCACAAACGGTTGCCTTTCATTTACCATTGACATCAGAAGTACTACAATTGCAGGCCTGTTTTGAAATGAAAAAGAAAGACCAATAAAAGAAAGTCACAGATCAACACAACTGTAGTTGCCTACAAGATAGGGCTCATGGGGAATACAGAGCCTAGATATAAGAATACATATTGACTGCAGTGAAACACACTATTAGGGGTTGTTTACATAAACAAATAGCAGACAAAATTTAGTGCAACTTCAAGCTGACACAAGGCACACATGAATCACAAAACAGTCAGGAACTTCATATTTACTGTTCCATCTTTGCTGAAATATACATTAATATCTATGAAACATTCTTCTTGAAAATGCAGTTTAACAATATTATTAGTATTTGAGAAGTGCATTCTCTCAAGATAACAAAAAAATCCCTAAGTGACAAAAGCAACTTCAAGGGTACCAGTTGAAAAGTAAAGTTTATATTTTTAAAGTTACAATGTTTTGGGGATAATTAATTTGATAAAAAGTGGCACTCCATTTTATGATCACAATAAGCTAATGCACATCAGCCCCGTCTATAAAACATTGTATCAGGCTGTTTTAGCAGTTTGAAAGCGAAAGACCAAAGCCAGAGGGACCAATATCTAGACTGGTTAAAAACTGCAACATAACTACTAGAACCAGCAAGGAGAAAACTGCTCTGAGAACCCTCACAGAATGTCAGTTCACCTCTTAGAAGCAGCTTTTTCCATTACTTGCCATTCCTTTTAGAAGTTAACAGTTCCGCTTCACAAGGTTTTTTTCTTGGTTTTTTTTTTTTTTTACTCAGCATGTGTTCTGTGGAATAGTTTCCCCTGGGTTTCACATATCACCCTTCCCCGCACCCATAATCTAAATAGGTGTCATTTTCTACCTACGTGTCTAATCTCTATGTCCCTTTGTTCACTCACAGGTGGTAGCAGCTTCTCTTAATTTGGCATCTGCAAATTTCATTAAACAATACTTTTTTTTTCTCCCTCTGACACCCGATGATGGCATTCCTAGTAATTCCTGTACGCTCTAACTAATGTTAACCAGATTGCCCTGCCATTACGAAGCTTGAATTTGATTTCACATATGGTAACACTAAGATATTTAATAAAACACTTCTTGTGATTTCAGACTCTTGATATGGACTCTAGTAACCTACTATTACCCATACCAATGCATCTGTGGGCAAGTCTACATGACATGCTATGGCACAGTAGCAACAAGCTACTGTGCAGTAATCAGGGAAAAAAACTGTGGCAACGGTTCTGCATAAGCAAGTAGTAAATGACTGCATAGTAACAACTGTGCAGTCCACCACACGTGCAGACATGGACATTGCTAGGTAAACAATTTAGCATTTTTATTCTCCTACCTTGGCGGATTTGAAGGTGCATACACTGAGGCAAAATAATCTTGGTTCATCTGGCATCCGCGAATAACTTCTGACACTGTGTTAATGGTCTAGAAAAGGGAGATATAAACTACACAGTTATCATAAGAATCACTAACTAAAAAAAGGGTAATCTGGGAAAGCAACGAATTCATTTGTATCAAAAAACACTGTTTATACAATACTGACACAGCAACTTCTCATTAGTGTAGTATTTGAAGATACAAGGACAAACTAAGAAGTTTGAAAATTATTCCAAACAAAAGATAACCTACTAAAATCATTAAAAACAAAGGATATTTATTAAAAAGTAGAAATTGTGGCTTGAATCAATCTGTGAGAACTATAGTATGCAGACAGCAGTGACCAATTCCATAAATCGGGAATGAAAGCCTCCCGCAGTTAAGGGCCTATACCTGACGGAAGAGCTACTGCATGATGTCTCGTGGCATTTATTATATACAGTACTTCTGTAGTCTTGGGTACTTGAGGTGGCTTACTACTAAAAACCGGGCTGAGCTGCGTGTAAACCCTAAATTCAAGTCTACAACTGGGAAAAGATAAAAGGGGCTGCTGAAGTTGCATATGGTTATAGTCATCTTTTGAAAGAAAGCTGGAACTCACAAACTACAGAGACTATTCTACTTGTTTTCTAAAAAGTAGAAACAAACTAAAACTGCTTACAGCTACTTAGATATAGAAATGGAACTACTCCAACAGTGTTTCATGAAATGAGCATCTGATGAAGTGATCCTGGCCTCATAAAAGCTTGTGTGCTCTCTCTCTGATGCAATCTGTCAAGGTACAAATCTACTCTGTTTTCTACCCGACTTCAAACACAGCTAACTACCTCACTGCACTAACTACCATTTCAAAGATATCTAACAAGACTACTAAACTGGAGGTCAAACAAGAGCTGATTAACTCCACCTGGCCTACCTAGTTGTCTGGTGAAGAATTAATTGCCCTCATCTCAAAATAGTAAGCGACTTTTCCCAGAAGCCAAAAATACTTCTATTACTGGAGCTGTGCAAGGCCAGCTTGGTTTGCTTACTGTCAGTGAAAATCATGCAGGGGGTGGATCTGAACTAACTCTGGAATCGCTTAAATCCAGGACAAACAACATGACAATAATTACCTTCTCTAAATTTCAAATATACATAGACACACCACAAGCTGGATTTGAAAATAAAGTGAATTTTGTTTATTACAGTTCTGAAGAATTTTAATACACAGGGACCACTCTAACAAGACACTGCTGGCTGGAAGGAAGAAAGCTGCCATTTCCCAAGCTTCTGAAATCAACTTGAGAAGTATTAAATTTATGATGGCTTTTGCCTATACAGCCAGCTAGCTAATCCCATGGGATTTCCCCCCCTGTTAGATACCCCTCTTCTTTCTTACCTCTGTCAGAATGTCAGCAGGA